ACACTGAGAGTCTTGGCTTGGGGCTTGTCTTCTTTTACTATACTTGGATTCGAATTATCGTGTGCATATTTGTCATTCCCGCGGTGCCTTATATATCTACTAGGTTTGCAGGGTGTTCAGTGGATCGTGAGATTAGTCGTGGTGTCCGCAAGCTGGCCCGAACATCCACGTAAATAAATTAATTAATTAATTAATTAAAAAATAAAAAAGATTACTTTATTAAAAGATTTTTTATCGAAATATCCACCATTTTTGTGATTTGTGAGCTAGGTTGGCCTCTACTTCTTTGACAATATTTCTTAGTTGGAGCGGTTAGGAGTTCGAGTATTGTACTTTAATATCATGAAAGCTTTAAACTTAATTTGCGTTGATTTTTTTTATTTTTTAATTTTTCCCGCGGTAATGGGGTCAGTCCAGCATTAACTTGTTCAGTGAAGAACACTTTTTCATAATCTTTCCTTTTCTAATCCGTTCATGTGTCAAGATAATTACCTACCAATAGCTTGGTGGCCAGACTGGGGGCTAACAAATGATTGGAGACAGCAACAAAATCAAACCAGCTCTCCTCCTTTTGGGTTTTTGGACATTATTGCTGTTATTTGATTTGGGGTCCTACCTAAAGAGAGCGATCTACGCCATAAAAGTCTATGCTATTATTACCGATGTTTGCCATTACAAGTTACCATGTTTAAGTTTTTCTAACAGAGTAATTATACTTGATATAATAAGATTTGACATTGACACATGCATCCAAGAGCATGGAAATCTCCGACGAAGCCATGAAAATATTCTCTTGCTGAAGTTCATGTACCTTGGATGCTTTCCTGAGCAAGAATGTCAATGGTGCTGTGTATATCTGTACATACGATTGATCAAAAGGCCTCGCATTATTTCAGAGATCTAAGCCGTTGACCTGGTAGATCTTCATGTGGGGCAGTTCCATGAACTCTTCTGTCTTTTCCTCTAAGCATGCAGTCATAAAGCAGCTTAACTTAGCTTACTAGAAAGCAGTTATCCATTTGATACTAGGAAAATTATTAAGCATTTTGAGACCATTCAGCAGTTGCGTGGAGATTGTTCATTTTTTCCTTTTAAGCGAAGATTTCTGCTGATAAATTTCAACTCGCTAAGATTCTGTGAACTCGTTAACCGTTCAATTGCAAGATAAGGTTGGGAAGATGGTCCAAATATTAAAATTGTTTACATTTGAAGAGCTAGGATTCGTCTGGTGCTTAATCTTCAATCTTTACCAGGAGAAAGTAATTCTAGTTTTTAAACAAAAAGTTGATAGAACAAAGGAGTCATTGTGGGCTGTTAGTGTTGGATATTTTTCCATTGAAGCTATAATAATCTCAATCTTGTTTTGTTTATTAATTCATAAGCTTGTTAATTTGTCATGTTTAAAATTCGATCTAAAGAGTCTAGGAGTGCTTCAGCATGTCTTCGACGGCAATATTCTGACTCTCTGATCAGCATGTTTACTTTGCTGTATTGTATGAGTTTCTTTGTAGTGTTAAGAAAGATACACGCCGTCTGAAGTGCTCAAAACTAGACGGACACACTTTTTTTTTTCTTTTTTCTTTTTTCTGATTCATCTGTATATGACCTGCCTGGTTCTCTACTCTACTTTGAATCAGTATGGATTTTTGTTAAACTTCGCTCAAAGATCGTACATAGGTGCGGTGTATATACCTCTAGGCTTGAAATGTGTAGACATGGATCTTTCTTTACTTTTCTTTGTAGTTTTGCCTTTTTAAAAAAATTATTCTTTTTTATTTTTTTTAAATTATATTTCAATTAATATCCCTTTTCTCAAAAAAAACTGTGGTTGTTGCATGTGTTTAGTTTTTGAAAATATTATTTTAATTCATATAAAGCCTGTCGTCTTCAGTGTTGGCTTTGCGAGGAAGAAGTTTATATGCACAGTACCATTAAAGGCTGAAACATGCCTTGCAGAGCAAATTTGAAAGCACCATTAAAGCCTGCAAAGACAAGTATACCAGAATGCCACACATGTCCTACAAGCCTTGTTGCCCAGTAGATGGATGCTTCTGTGGTATTAGAATAAGAGATCCACGACTGTAATGTGAGAATGGACAAAGAGAAGCACAATTCATTTATAATTTTTTTTATGTTTTATGTAATTAAAATTTATTTTAAAAAATAAAAATTATTTATTTTTTTATAGTATTTCTAATAAATACAATTTTGCAAATATTTTTCTCTTTCTAATTTTATTCAATCAATTTTATTTCTATGATTTTTCTTGCTATCATTTAATTAAATAAAAAATTAATTTTAATAAAAATAATCATTGAATACAATCAAATAAATAACTCATGTTGTGAAATCAAATATTATAATCTATATCCGTCTCTCAACTTTTCAAGATATGTATTTAATTATCATTAATGACTTTTATTTTATTTATCAAAATGAATGAATCTTGATAATATATAAACTTTTTAATTTGCATTTAATATTTTTTATGTAAACAAAATGTTGAAAAAACCTACATGTTTGATTTTTTTTGTTGAAAAAAATATCTTATTAGATAAAGCATGAGTCAAATAACTAATTTTTACTACAAAGCTTCAAATGATTAGATGATTTGAAATTGTAGTCGTTTTCAAACACTACAAAGCTTCAAATGATTAGATGATTTAAAATTGTAGTCGTTACCTTCTGTATTTTAAAAAATTATTGTTTACATTTTAAATTTTATTGCATGTATAAAAGTTTACATCATAAACCATACTATAATTTAGTCTATTTTATTTTGTATTTACAGATGATATAAACTGTAAATTTTAAAAACATAAAAAGTAAATATAAAAACTGCGAAATTATCGAATGAGCTGGTAAATTTCCCTTTAATTTTTAGAAATGAAACTATGGCATAAATCAGAAAGCATGGTTTATTTCAGATGCTAGAGAACTTGTAGCAGCTTTTGTCAGGAACATAAGATATCAGGCATAGTCGTTTCTAATATTGTTAACTGTTTTACATGAAGTTCTTGTAGACTGGTGTGTTCGAATATTTCTAACCTTGTTTAAAGGAACCTCCTGTGAGTGAAATATATGCTGGGAAATTCCTTGACGAGCTGGGTTTGGATTTTCACCATAGGATGGGCTCCTGGGAAATTCTTTTTATTCATGTTTTTTAAGGTTTTTTTGTTTCTATTCCAAATTATCAAAGCCCTATGATTTTGGGTGCTGCTTTCAGGCTTCAGCATTAAGAACTCTGGATTAACACAAGCTGCTCTTCTAGGGGGCTGAGCGATTTGTGAGGTGAGGTAGATTTCAGGTTCAAGAAATATGTGCAAGTCCTGTGTACCCAGAAAAACAGCAATGGCAGGCAGCACGCTTCCTTTTGTTTCTGGGCTTCAGCCCGTCTGTTTTTGTCCTTGGAACTGAGCCTTTCCCCCCACCTCACTTTAATTGATGAAGAGTTTAATGACGTTATTTGTCCTAAAAATTTATTTTTTAAATTACAAACTTTATTTTGTTTGTATTTTAATTTTTAAATTTTAAAAAATAAATAAACTACTACAAAACAATAGAAAATAGAGTGAACAGTTGCTTGGAGAGATTTCATGAAAAAAAATTGATGTTATTGTGTTTTTTATAAGATATTTTTTACTTTTTATATTGTTGAAAAAAATAGATTTTGCGGAGAAAGATAATTTTTTATATTAATTTTATATTTTTTAATATTTTAAATATTTTTTGAGTTGATAAATTAATTTGTTAAAATTAAAAGAGTGTTTATTATATTTTTTAAATTAAAATTAGAATTTTTTTAAAAAAAAAATCCTAACTTAGATTTCTTATAGACTCTTTGGCCAGTAGCGGAGGCAGGGGCCCTGCCCCTGCAAGGAAATGATTTTTTATATTTTTCAGTTTCTTTTTTGTAAATATTTATAATTTTAGTATAATTTTAATTTTTTTAAAATATTTTTTTGAAAATTAGACATGAAGACAGTACATCCTCTGCTTTAGATTAAAAATTAAATATTTAGGTCAAAATAACTCGAGATCAAATTTCTAACAACGTCTTCAACCACCTGAAACTGGGCATGAAAACAATACGTCGTCTATGTAACTTCATGTTTTTTAAGGAAAGATGAACAATTTATTGGGCGTCCTTTCGCAAAAAAAAGGGTTAGGCACCGTGCTTGGCCTTCTTAAGTTGAGCTAGGAAGGTGGGGGTGGGGGACATCACTTCGGCTTAGGTGATTGGTTTTTTTCTATTTTTTTCAAGTATTTTTTTATTATTGTTATTTTACATGAAATGCACTATAAAAAAATATTTAATTTAGTATTTTAAATTTTTTTCTTTCTTCAATTTAAAATTATTAAAATAGATTATTTAAAGATGAAGCTCTATGGACCTCAATTTTATTTGAAATTTATTAAAATTAATTAATTAAAAACATTTTTAAGATATAATTTAATTTTTACTTAATTTTCAAAAAAAGTATTTATTAAAATCTCTCTTTTATGTGTTTTTTTTTAATTTAAATGAGCACCTTAATTAAACAATAAGCTTTTGATTTGATTATGAGAGATTTTTTATTGTTCAATTTTTTTTTTTTTGAGGTACATGACATAAAATACAGCATTGTATTTTTTTAATTTAAAATAAAAATAATAACAAGAAGGATGAATAATCAAATTAGCTTGTTTTGATGGATTTTAAATTATTAATCTTTTTATAAAAAAGTAATTATAATATAATTAAATAAGACAAATAAAGGCTCCTGCCTTGAATTGCATCATCCTCAATGAAGTTTCATTCTTTGAAATGTATGAATCTATTTTTAAATTCAATTGAAAGTAACAAAGAAAACATCAATGTTGAAATTTTTTACAATAAGAAAGAAATAAATAAAGAGATGGATTTGAATGGAATGGATTAAGAGTTATTGTTTGCACAAGAGATTTGTGAAATATACATCAACTCACATGCAGAATACAAAATGAGAAATTAAATACATCTAGAGAAAGATAAAGCATTCCAGGGAAACCAGAGGGTTCTCCAGAGACTCGTTCCCCTCCTGCTGCCTAAACACGGAGCCGTTTTCCGAATCCTCCTTATTCTTCCTCTCCACTGACCTGTCACCGGCTTTTCCAGGACTCGCTCCCGCACGACCACTCCCAGCTCCACCTGCCGTCCTAGTCGCCGTTGACCTACCAAAATCATTCCTGACCCCTCTAGACCCCGCATTACGCTGCCCAGCTGCGGTCCTAATCACCTGACCGGTCGTCTTCGCCGGATACTTTAACACCCTTTCTCTGTCTCCAGTGTACGGACGCTTTCGATGTACTTTGGCCACAGATCTGTTGACCCTTTTCATGCTTGTCACCTCATCTTCTCTTATCTCTGTTATTGTAGTGGTAGTGGTGGTGGCAGTGGTGCTGGTGGTGCTGGTTGTTGGTGTTAGAGTGGCAGTGATAGTGCTGCATGTCTCTGATGCTTGAGAGATTTCTTGGTCTTCTTGGTGTTTCTTGCTGTTTCTTTGCATCAGGGTTTTTGGTTCTTGGTTTTGTGTTGTTGTCATTTGTGGTTCGAGGATAATGGGGGTTTCAGAAAGGACTTCTTTGACTGTCTCTTCTTCAGGTGGCGGTGAGGCACTTGCGGTGGAGACATGGGGTTTGCGGGGTTGCGGTGGAGAATGGCGGTGACTTAGTGGTTCTGGGCTACTTGACCCTCTTTTGTTGTTGTTGGAGCTGAGACAGCAACCCATTAGGTGAGAGAGACGGAGCTAATGTCTGAATATGCAGTTTGTGTCTCTTAGCAGCTATAGAACGTACACTTCGTAGTAACTAGTGGTTAAACACTCAAGCAAGAAATGACATTGGAGAAGGGACTGGAACAAACAACCTGTTCGATCAAATTGGGGTAAATAATAGATAGAAACTAGGCAAAAAGAGGAAGGCATATAGAAGTGAGCAAAAGTGGGTGTTGTGGGGTTTTTTTTAGATTATATAAGAAAGTGCTCCTGAGCCTGGTGGGTGTTATTAGAGAGTGAGGGGACAGATCAGATGGAATCATCCGAGAACTAAAGGGGAGAGATTATCTTAGAGATTGTGAGTACGGTACAGTTCAACGAAAATGGAAGCTTTGATTACCTGTTAACTTTACAGGGTTGAGCCATAACTGAGACCCAGAGATGGGGGACTGGGGCATAGGAGCCTTAGCTGGAGCTATAATGAAAGAAAGCGAGGTTGAGAACTCGTTCCCTATTTTGGCCCTGTACTAAAGAATTGCCTGTTGTCTTGGTGCTCCCTCCTTTTGAGGATTCATGGATCCACGCAACAGGCTTTGCTTGCACTTTGGAGGGCTAGGATCTTCGAGGGGACAGTTGCTGACCATTAGTTTTTCGTTAGACTTCTCGTTTGAGACCGTGTGCACTTCATGTAAGATAAATTGCCTAGAAAATTAAACTATTTCCTCGAAATTAATTTTGTTCTCTTTTCTTCTAGTCGGCCTTGAAAAACGTAATTCAAGACCACTTTCCAAATGTGAGGAAACCAGGTGCACGTACTCGTGGACCACCAAGGGTCCGTGGAGTGGACCAGATGTTGCTAGAAGGTGTCAAATGCTAATGGCATGCATCCTATCGAACCAGGGCCAATGGGTCCGACAACAACCTGTAACCAAAATAATAGACAAGGTTCTGCAGCTTTTTTGCCCGCAGGACCAAAAGCTTCATGCATGGCCTCGCCATCAATGAGACCCAAGCAGATGGCCAGCAAATAAGGTTTTTTTAAAAAAAAAATAACATGGTAAATTTAAAGTTTTGGCATAATATATTTTCACATGTTTTTAAAATTGATATCCAGTAAATGTTGTTATTTGAATATATAATATATTTAAATATGTCATTATTTTTAAAATATGATAAACTAAAATATAATGATTTGAAAGTGGTAGATATAATATATTTAAATATGTCATTATTTTTAAAATATGATAAACTAAAATATAATGATCTGAAAGTGTGAGATT